TTAACACTGATCAGCTGTAGGACGGCCCTTTGAAGCCCCTCCGCAAGAGTTTAAACAGTTTTTTCCCTCTAGTCATCAGCTGGGACTCAGGAGGCAGCAAATAGATTGGGGGTGGGACCAAATAAAAGGGAAGAATAACGTGGGAGGGCGCGGGGGGGGAGAGAACCGGTTTGGTGAGGTCATAGCGTCACCGCTACCGGCTCGGCGGAACCGGACCGAACCGGGAGGAACCCACCACTGGACTGAAGCATCAACTTGACTTCTGAATCATTAAAGGACAATTTATAAGTCTATGGAGATTGTCAGTCATCCAGGTCATGGTTGTCCCAAAGGTGCTTTTTCAAAAGACAACTCAACTTCGTTTTTCCTAAGGTAGAACGAAGTCCAGTTGCCTTTTGAAAAAGCTCCTTAATTTCTGTAGCTCAGGGATGAAATGAGGCATCCTTGGTGCTCTCTGAGTTTAGGATTAGCACTAGATGATGTTTACCTAGTTTGGGTAATGAAATGTTTGCAAGAAAACAACCAGAGAGCACCTAGGACCTCTGACTTCTGTATCAAATGCCAAGGAGAGCGGAGTTCTGAATGTCCTGTAGGAGTCTCCCATAAGCATAGTAGTTTAGAAGCCAGAACCTGATCAACAGAAAACAGGAACATGCAAGAAACAGCACCATCTTAAGGTGTAAATCTGAAGAGCAGACCATATTAAACTTCTGTTTGAAGAATTGTCCGTCATTCAGAAGATATGGAAAAAAGTCACTTTATAGCCATACCCTTGAGCCATCTTGCTTATTATAATCTATGAAATATGTTCATAATTCTATGCTGGTTGGAAGCTGGAAGTCACCACTAGGAATCAGTGGCTTTGCAGATTTTAAACTCTAACTTTCCAAGCCCAACCTATTTTCTTGCAGACCTTTCATTACCAAACTACTTAACATCATCTATGCAGTGTAAGGTTGTAATGATAGCACCACGAGATGGGAGAGGATGGTTTCTCTCTCTCTCCCCCTCAATCTCGGGAGAGAGAATTTGGCACTGGGTTGCTATCATCCTACAGGCCCAATTGCCCTTACTCTACTGCAGCCAGGTACAATCCAAATAAATTCATATTGCAGAATTTATTCTGCTCTTCTTACTATTCTTACATTTGTCTCCTTAAGTGCTTTGTATCTGGCGTGGTGATTAATCAGAAGCTCTATAAATATAGAATGTTTGCATCTTCCTTCCATTCCAGGTTTGATCATGCAAAATAGTTTTTTTGATTAAGTTACAGACATAATTATTTAAACTGCTTAAGGTTCTCTCAATCTGTATCTCTCTGGATATGCACTAAACTAAAGCTATTGTAGCCACTCAGAGTTGTTTAAAGTGGCTGTCCATTCAATATTTTTTCAAATAAACAAATACATTTTAAGGAATCAGATTTAGAAAAGCTGGTCTGTTCTAACTGATGCTAATTCTCTGGGGTCTAAAGCAACCTAATACAATATAATACAATTCTTTATTGGCCAAGTGTGATTGGACACACACGGAATTTGTCTTTGGTGCATATGCTCTCAGTGTACATAAAAAGACAAGATACATTCATTAAGAATCATAAGGTACAACACTTAATGATAGTCATAGGGTAGAAATAAACAGTCAAATCATACTAGGAAACAATCAATATAAATCGTAAGGATACCAGCAACAAGGTTACAGTCATATAGTCATAAGTGGGAGGAGATGGGTGATAGGAACGATGCGAAGATTAATAGTAATACTAATGCAGTGTTGAGGGAATTACTTATGATGGCATTTGAGGAAAAACTATTCTTGTGTCTAGTTCTGGTCATTTTGAGGGTAGGAGTTGAAACAGTTTATGTCCAGGATGCGAGGGGTCTGTAGATATTTTCACAGCCCTCTTTTTGACTCGTGCAGTATCCAGGACCTCAATGGAAGGCAGGTTGGTAGTAATTGTTTTTCCTGCAGTTCTAATTATCCTCTGAAGTCTGTGTCTGTCTTGCCGGGTTGCAGAACCAAACCAGACAAACTAAGATTGGAAGCTCGTGTTTAAAGATTAAAGTCCTCCCTAATCCAGAAACCTTTCTCTTTGAATAACCAGGAAAGGAAGCCAACATGCATCTGATTAAAGACCAACCTAATCCAGCAAAATTTATCCTGGGCTTTTTTTGGAGGTGTAACCCAAGTGTAGAAGTAACACATAAGACAATATGAGAACCACAGCTCTTTTCTGCCAACATGCCCTGCCATACTACAATGCAATGGATTTGCAAGCCTTGCAAAGGGCTGTAAATCCATCACCCTCCTCCTCTGTTTTGCTCTTATCAATAGTAGATTCCAAATGCTTTTAGTCTGGAAATGTCAAGTGAATGAATATCAAACTCAAAGTTGGAGGGCAAAGGAGGCAGCAAGTATTTACAATGAAGAACATAAACAACAGGGGGGAAAAAATCCCCTTGGATATGCATACTAGCCAATGCTGGGTTCTCTGATACTCACATCACTGCAGGTTTGGGGTCAGCATTGGACCATTGAAGATAACATGTCCTATGGCAAATGCATGGTTCCCTAAACACAGGTAGTCCTTGACTTATAACCTTTCATTTTGCAACCATTCAAAGTTACAGCAACAGTGAAAAAAATGACTTATGAAGGGTCTCCACACTTACAGTCACTGCAGCAACCTCTCAGTTACATGATCAAAATTCAGGCATTTGGCAAGTCTGCCTTGGTCACACTGATGGATGATCTCTGGCGAGCACGAGACAGGGGTCATTCCTCTATCTTGGTGCTACTTGACCTCTCAGCGGCTTTCAATACCATTGACCATGGTATGCTTCTGGGGCGACTAAGAGAGCTGGGAGTGGAAGGCATCGTGTTGCGGTGGTTCGCCTCCTATCTCTCTGGTCGATCACAGTCGGTGCTGGTAGGAGGGCAGAGGTCGTCCCTAGGCCCCTCGTCTGCGGGGTGCCTCAGGGCTTGGTCCTCTCTCCCCTCCTATTTAACATTTACATGAAACCACTGGGTGAAATCATCCGACTACACGGGGTGGGATATCAGCAATATGCTGATGATACCCAGCTGTATATCTCCACCCCTCATCAGTTCAGTGAGGCAGTAGATGTGATGTGCTAGTGCCTGGAGGCTGTGAGGATCTGGATGGGAGTCAACAGGCTCAGACTTAACCGAGACAAGATCGAATGGCTCTGGGTATTGCCCCCTAAAGACTATGTTGATTGTCCATCCTTGGTTCTGGGGGGAGAGAAAGTGCCCCCTTCAGAACGGGCTCGCAATTTGGGTGTCCTTCTAGTGCAACGCGCTCTACATGGGGCTACCCTTGAAAAGTGTTCGGAGACTACAGTTGGTCCAGAATGCAGCCGCGCGAGTTATAGTGGGTGCACCTAGATACACCCACATTACACCAATTCTCCGCGAGCTGCACTGGCTCCCTATTGGTCTCTGGGTGCAATTCAAGGTGTTGATTATTACCTTTAAAGCCCTACATGGCTCAGGACCAGGCTATGTTCGAGACCGCCTTCTACCACATAGCTCCCAGCGACCGGTAAGATCCCACAGTCAGTCTCCTCCGGGTCCCGTCAGCTAAACAATGTCGGCTGGGGAGGGCCTTCTCTGTGGCTGCCCCAGCTCTCTGGAACCAATTACCTCCTGAAGTCTGGACCGCCCCCACCCTATTGGCCTTCCGGAAAGTGATGAAGACCTGGCTCTTCTGGCAGGCCTGGGGCCATTGATCTCGTTATAGTGATCTTGCGAGACCCGGGCACAAATTGGAGTGTATGTGTTTTAACATTTTAATATTTTAATGTTTTAATGTCTTCTTTTAACTTTTGTATGGGATATTGTTGCATTGTTTTATTCTCTGTTGTAAGCCGCCCAGAGTCCCTTGGGAGTTGGGCGGCATAGAAATGCGATAAAATAAATAAATAAAATGAATAATAAATAAGTCAGCAGTGCATTTATGACCATTGCTGCATCTCCAGGATCATATAATCAATATTTGCAACCTTTCCAGCTGGTTTCTGACAAGCAAAGTCAATGGGAGAAGGCAGATTCACTTAATGGCCAGGTGATTCACTTAACAATTGCAGTGATTTGCTTAACAACTGTGGCAAAAGAAATATGTAAAATTGGACGCGACTCACTTAACAATCGCCTTGCTTAGCAATTGAAATTCTGGACTTCGTGATGGTCACCAGTTGAGGACTAACTGCATTGCTACCTAGAGGCATGATATGCTAAGTCTGACCCAGAAATAGCATGCAGCTATCATAATTAGTAGTCATTATAAACTTCTGGGAAACATTGCTTAATCCATACTGCACCTATTAAGGTCAGACCACTGGATACTAATCAAGGATTCAATAGGCCAGAAAGTTCCCAAATTCAATATCACCTCAGCTTTTATACGTATTTGTTGATAAAATTACAAGATGTAGGAGAAAAACAGGCAGAGCTTGGTGGTGGTGGAGTTAAACATGCCACCAGCTTAGAATTGTTACATCTCCACAATGATCCAATTCCAACCCCTCTTAAATTCCACTGACCCTTATCTGGAACCAATTTAGTACTGAACTTTAGTTGACTTGAGCTTCGTGTATAGACTTGAGCAATAATTCTACTGAATCACAATTTAATGTATGGTCCTGATCCTTTGTGCCTTTGTACAGAAAGAGGGAAAAGGAGGAAGGGAGGAATAGAAATTGAGGAGCAAAGTTCCAAGATTGTTTGCAAGAGTCAGCACAGTTTCTTGCACAGGTTGTCCCCAATCGCAGCAGAGTGATGCTGGTCCACCTCAACCATTTCAAAGACGTACACAAAATGTACATTTCTACTGACGACAAGAGCAGGACCCCACCCATTAAATCAAAAGGCTCAGATTCAGAATACAAACTATTGCACATCTGTTTTCTCTATTTTCATACAGCAGGCAAAGGAATCAGAGCAAAGCTCTTATGCGAAAAATAGGATCAATGCCTTACTTTTTCTTGATCTGGAGAAGAACTTTATTCCTCCGGGGGAGGTGGAAGGGTTAGAGCCAGAGGAGGAAGAGTCTTTTGAAGACGACCTAAAAATCCCACTGAAGCTCATGCGTCGAGGGGATCGAGGTGGTGATTCCTGATACGGGAAGGGAAACACCGTTTTGGGTGAGCCTGGACTATGTTTAGACTTGACAGGAGCAGAAGATGGACTGGAAGGTCGGTTCTGGAGCCCCTTTGAGAAGATTCCTTTGGAAGGGCTCCCGGAATTGTAGCTGTCTTCCGTCTGCAAAAGGGGAAAAAAGTGTTGAGTTAAAATATTGAGAATTCATAGAATCATAGAATGCAGAATTGTAAGATTGAAGGATCTTGTAGGTCTTCTAGTCCAATCTCCTGTTCAAGGCAGGAGACCTTATACTATCCCGGTCAAAAAGTTGTCCAGTCTATTTTTGAAAACATCCAGTAATGGAGCATCCACAACTCTGAGAGGCAAATTGTTCTATTGATAATTGTTCTCAATGTCAGGAAATTTGTCCTGAACTCTAGGCTGGATCTCTCCTTAACAAACTTCCACCCATTACTTCTTGTCCTACCCTCTGGTCAGTGGTGGGATTCATTAACAACCGGTTCTCTGTCCTAATGACCAGCTGGGTGGGCATGGCTTGGTGGTCATGTGACCATGTGGGCATGGCCAACTCAACATCACTCAGGTCAACAGGTGTTTCGCCTTAGCTGTTACAATGTAATAAGGGTTAACCAGAGAGGCAGTTTCTGTAAGCAGGGCAATAAAGATTAGGCTAGAAACAACACCAGAATATTTCCTTCCTGCCTTCCTTGCAGGATTAGCCCTGTAAAAAAAAAAAAAAAAGATTTCTTCCAACAACCGGTTCTCCGAACAGTTTAGAAAGTTAACAACCGGTTCTCCCGAATAGGTGCAAACTGGCTGAATACCACACCTGCCTCTGGTGCTTTGGAGAATCCCCTCAAATATTGGAAGACAGTTACCATCTCTCCCCCCCTCCCCCTGCCAATAGTTCTCTTCGTTAGGCTAGTCACACCTAGCTTTTTCAACCATTTGTTATACAATTTAGCCCGTTGACTTTTTACCATACTTGTTGCTATTCTCTGCACACTTTCCAGGGTCTCAATTAACACAATTAAAAACCAACTATCACCTGATTCTATTTCAACTTCGAAGTGTACGGCTTTATTACGTATGTACCAAATCTACCATTGTTTAGTTATTGTATGTTGCACTTTTTCAACAGTATTATTTTGTCTCTGCAAGGATCCAGTCTTGAACAACTACTGCTCCTGAGGATGTAACAAAAGTTACAGGGACACTGAGATCAAGAAAGTAATATGAGATTTGGAAAACCTAAGGCCACAATGTGCAATTTATTTTCTATAAAAGGCAATCTATCAATGGGAAATATTAAATCAGGGTCAGGAGCCAAAAATAAGCAAAAATCAAAGAGATCTCATGTCTCTTTGCTATCACCAACCTTCAGCTTCAACCTGTGTGTGTGTGTGTGTGTGTGTGTGTGTTTGTTTGTTGTGTACACCTAGGGAATACAGTATATTCCAGGACACAGACACAGACACAGACACAAACACACATATACACACAATATTTTTGTGGATTATTCTTTCCCAATATGGAATGTCCACAAACTTTGCCGAAGTCCACATATCTGGGGGACAGTATACTAGGTTTGTACTTCACTTGTCTTCCAGGACCCCAAGTCAGTATGTGTATGCGCACTCACAGACACACACACACACACCACCCTACTTCAATTTTCATTCTAGCAGCAAACCTATAAAATACTTTGGGCTTACACTATTGCCCTCAACCAGGGGTGAAATTCACTTACCTTCCCTACCAGTTCGCCAATGTGTGCGTGCCACCGTCTGCACATGTGCAAAGCTTTCTGCGCATGTGCGGAGGCTTAAAATGTCGCAAAAAAGCGATGTCATTATGTCCGCGTGGGTGGGTGGGCTCTCCTGCAGCCACTGCTACCAGTTCTCCCAAGCCGGATAGAACCGGCTGAATTTCACCCCTGCCCTCAACCAATCCAATAAGCTTCCTTGTCTAGAGATGGATTTAAATCTGGGTCTCCTTGGTCCTAATCCAACATTTTAACTGCTATTCTGACCAATCATTCCATCCTCCTTCTCTCCAGCTTCTCTTTAAGCAAGTTGGGTCTTTTCAATCTCTGTGAGGCCACAGATTTCCAAAACAGCTGTAGCTCTGCTGATGAGGGATATATAATCTAGTCAGAGATTGTTTCTAACTCAGGGGCAATAATCTCTCATCCACCCAGCAACATCAAAAAGAGGCCAACCTGACGTAAAGTGGTTTAAATAGTTAGATATCTATTAGGGTTCAGATGTGTAATTTTATTTTAAATTTTGTTCGCCACCTAGAATCACTGTTGTGAAATAAGCATATATAAGCAAATAAGCAGATATAAATTATTTAAATAAAACAGACAAATTTGAGACGTCAAAAATAAGTCTCGGCACCAGCACAAGGTGGAATTTAATCCCTGATAAAACAGAAGAAATGCTGGTGGTTGAGAGCTAGACAAAACCAATTTAAAATAAAATGGAAAGATTGTGGAAGTTAAAAAAAAATCCATCTAAGATTTCCAAGGTAGAGTATATTTTGCTTCTTATATGGTATTTAGGAGAGAAAAATCCCATGTAACATCTGCCTTCCAAGTTCTCAGAAAGAAAATATGAGGATAGCCAAAAAGTAAAAATTTATTTTAGATCTAAGACAGGACTTGATTTGGGGTTTTTTTTGCATACAGAAGGATAGATGGATTGGTGGGGTTTAAAGGTTGGAAACCTGCCCATTTGACTGAGTTTCAAAGGCTTTGAAATAAGCCTGGAGCACCATTACCTAAAGATTTGTCATCTAGGATGAATTCATTGAGGGCATCCAACCATATTTCTCTACAGGACATGAAGCAAGAGCAATTTTTGAATGAGAAATTATTTATTAAAGCAAAGAAAGCATCTACCATCTTGCTCTTTTTATCAACCTCATGGATGCTGCCAGCTGGATTCCTTCAAATCAAACACAAGAGACATACCTTAATTACCCAAGATCACAGAAAGAGATCAGATCAATCACCTCATTCCTTCCTTCCTTCCTTCCTTCCTTCCTTCCTTCCTTCCTTCCTTCTTTCCTTCCTTCCTTCTTTTCTTCCTTCCTTCCTTTCTTCCTCCATCCATCCCTCTATCCATCTTCTAGACTGCCCAGTCCCAAAACTGATTCCAGATAGCTTCACCAAGTTAGAAACAGTCTCATAATATTAAACATTAATCCATATAATTACCCCTGGGAACATTTTTTTTTAAAAAAAAAAAAGTCCAGTCACTCCCAAACTTCAAAGAGTTCACTAGGCACCCCAGCCAAAGGCCTGAAGGAAGAATCACATGTTTAAGGCATGCTTGAAGGCAGGAAGAGTGAGGGACAAAAGCAGGGGTGAAATGCTACCGGTTCGCACCAGTCCGGGCAAACCGGTAGTGATAAAAGCAACCAGTTCGGGCGAACTGGTAGGGAAAAATAGTTACCGCTTTGTCTGAACCGGTATTTCCGATGATCAGCTGTGCCACGCGATTTATATTCGCTAGAAAGCAGGAAATCCTGCTTTCTAGCGAATCTAAATCGCGTGGCACAGCTGTTCCCCCCTCGCTGTTCTACTTACCTTAAGTCTTTTTCTGTGTAAAGCATGCATTTGGTGTGCACTGTGCATGTGCGTGCACACAGTGTGGATTTCACACGCACTGTGCAAAGACGTGCAGCGTGCTTTTGGCACGCACCACGTATGCATGGACAGCAAACCGGTGGCAATCCGGATTTGGATTTCACCACTGGGCAAAGGATGCTGCTTCAGGGGGCAGGCAGTGCAATAGAGGAGGCCCTTTTCCTAGGTCCCTCTAGATGACATCACTTAATTGGTGGGATCTAAAGCAAGTTGTCTGACCATATAGGATGAGCAAAGAATGATGGAAGCCAGATGGCTTCCCAGATAATTGAACTCTATGCAGTGTTGAGCTTTATAGATAACATAGATAACATATATTTGAAAGGCTGCCATAATGACAACCTATTTTCCAAAGTACCTGAGGACAAGACAAGAACTAACGGATGGAAACTTATCAAAGAGAGATTCAAACTAGAACTAAGGAGAAATTTCCTGACAGTCAGTACACTTGATTAGTGGAACAGCTTGTCTCCAGAAGTTGTGGATGCTCCAACACGGCAGGTTTTTAAGAAAAGATTGAACCAGTGGTGAAATCCATTTTTTTTTACTACCAGTTCTGTGGGCGTGGCGTGGTGTGGCTTGGTGGGCGTGGCAGGAGAAGGATATTGCAAAATCTCCATTCCCACCCCACTCCAGAGGAAGGATCCTGCAAAATCCCCATTCCCACCCCACTCCTGGGGGAAGGATATTGCAAAATCTCCATTCCCACCCCACTCTGGGGCCAGCCAGAGATGGTATTTGCCGGTTCTCTGAACTACTCAAAATTTCCGCTACTGGTTCTCCAGAACCTGTCAGAACCTGCTGGATTTCACCCCTGGATTGAACAGCCATTTGTCTGGAATGGTATAAGGCAGTGATGGCTAATCTTTTTGCTGTCGCGTGCCAAAAGTGGGGGGAGCACGGGGAGGTAGCCCACGTGCGTGACCACACCCATAATTCAATGCGCCCCGCCCCTGCGCATGCGCCTCCCCCCCTGCTTTTAGCATGTGATGGCATGGTAAGCCCGGTAGGCTCGTTTTTCACCCTCCCCAGGCTCCAGAGGCTTTCTAGGAACCTGGGGAGGGCGAAAACAGCCTTCACCACCACCACCCAGAGGCTCTCTGGAGGCCAGAAAGAGCCCATTTCCCAACTTCCGGTGGGACCAGAAGGCTCAAAAATAAGCTGGCCAGTGCACGCATGTGCGATGGAGCTGAGCTACAGCAATGCTCGCATGCCCACTGATATGGCTCCATGTGGCACCTGTGGCACCTGTGCCATAGGTTCGCCATCATGGGTATAAGATCTCCAGCTTGGGTGCAATTGGACTAGAAGACTTGCAAGGTCCCTTCCAACTCTGTTATTTTATATTCTGTATTCTAGCAATAGAAGAGAATATTTGTAGCTCAGGATTGAATTGGGGGGGGTGTTCCTTGGTGCTCTTTGAACTTGGTTGTTTTTTTGCATTTCTTCTTATCACTAAACTAGGTAATATATTCACTGAATGAAATGTCTGCAAGAAAACAGC